TAGTCCTCTGGCATTGAAGAAACGCTTTTTCTCGGATCCCAAACAGATTTTCTCTTCACTGAGGATTTCGCTTTGCTAAAGGCAGCAGGTGGAAGTTAATGGATTCTCAGTTTGTTCCTGTAGTTTTCAAGCATTCGTGTGTTTCACGATTTAATCAATTTTCAGTTGTGCGCAAACTTCTACTAAAATTTCCATTGTGACGAAACTTATTTTTAATGACCAAGATTTGTCATTGTTCAAAAATACTGCTTCGATAGCCTTGTCCCGATTTCATCCAAACGACGTCAACTCCTAATTCCGGGTTAGCAGCAAATTCATCTCATTTTGGATTTTAAATGCTTGCTGTTCATGGACGAGCCTTCGAGGCTAGCGCTTTATTTTCTGGTTGCCGACTGGGACAGATCTCATCTGGACGCAAGGGCGCTTCTTTTTTCTCTCTCATATCCCACACACCGCCCTCACGTTTTCAGTTCAAGTCTGCGCTTCGACGGTCCGATAGCTGTTGCGGATCATCTCTGATGGGTACTTGTTCCTTCAATTGACACTTTTTTGACCTCTACGTCGTCAAGTTTTTCGAAAACAGTCTACGTGTGGTATTGGGATCCGCTTAGAAAATGTCAAAGCGACATGTTAGCCACTCGCTTGCTCTTCCAACCAGTCCTTTGTCGACGCGGGTTAAAGTGCACGCAGAATCCGGTTTGAGACCGGTTTCGCGTTGCCTGTCTTTAAATCCACCAAGCGAGCCAGTCAGGATCTTGAGAAAATGTGTGTGATACTATCACAAGAACAGAGAAATCATTTCATTGGCATGGCAAGTAGTCATCAAACTGGCTTACGCTTCGAGATGGATCCAAGTATAGGTAAAATCATGATTTAAAAACATTCGTGACGTCCCATAGCTCTACAGAGACCTTGATGAGCTGTGGAAAAGCTTTCTTGATAGTCCTCCTTTTACCTTTTGCTGTGCTTTCCATTATTTCTAAATACGATCTACGCTCATTCTTCATTTCAACATCATTTTTCCTTTGCAAACCACACCGTCTTACCTGCATTTTTTCATACACCACACCCTCTCTGTTCCAACCAACTCGCTAAAACTCCCGTTCGCAGTACTCATTTATGTTGCTGGATGTTAAAAAACCATTCCGACGTGTTATCTACATACACATTACAAATAATTGTTGCGTTTCTCGAACTCCTTCATTTCGTCGAGAATTCGTCGACGAACACTTGATCTCGGGCCGTTAGCGGTAACTCTCCGTATGAGAGAATTCGCATCATCCATGAACGCTGAAGAATTCGTACTATTTCGATGCGATGAGCGCGTTTCAGAATCGCCACGATAACAAGGCAAACATTGAACGTTGGCTACACGGCCGCTATTTTTGGCATTCGTCGTTCATTCAATACTCGTCCCATTTCAAACAGTCGCCGTTAGCCTTTTCTAGAACTGTTCTGTGCTTTAAAAAGAGTAAAAACACACTTCAAGTTGTTTTTTGCCTTACCTTTCTGCGAGATATTCTTCTTCCAGCCGCTCTTCCAAAGATGAGGCATCCTTTTAATCATCGGCCATGTGTTGTTGATGAGTCCAAAATTACAATGTCTGTCCCGCAGAACTTTTCACTGTAAGCTCCGTTCGTGCGATTTCTTCCTTTCTTCATTCTTTTCCTTCGTTTGTTCTCTGCCACATCTCATACCAAGTGGTTGTTCTTTTACTTTTTTCTTCATTTACGTTTCGCTTTTCTACGACGAGATCCCACAAATACTGTGAATAATTCAGGCAACAAGCAAGCACAGTACACATCGTCACGATTCGATATGGTGAGCCGTCTTTTTGTATCGTTAGGACCGTTCGTTCGTATTTCCTCGAAATCCTTCTATTCATCCTTCTAAGAGTTCTTTTCGAGCAATATGGTCACTACATCCAGAGATTCTAAATTTTCGAATGCCATTGTCACTTGAATATTTGTTAACTAGCTTTCTGAACGAACCATGGCAGTACTTACCTTTTAACTATCCTTTAACGCTAGATTTTCAAAACGACATATTTAATAGAAGTATGACAGGTATTTTTAAATGGCTAATCGACTTCATTTTTTGGAACTTCTATGTCCCCGGAAATCAGTTAGTCCAAATACTACGCAGTACAGGTTTTATTATTAGTTCCCGGCATTAATTTCCAGTAAGAGCACTAAGAACAGGGTGCATGGTCCTGTTAAGCTTTGCTATGATTACTATATCTTACAAGTCAACTACTCTTGACACAAAAATTCCAAAAAGTTTAATTTTTTAAGACCAAATGAAGGCTGAGGGCAAAGTATCCGTGGGTAACTGTGGCGAAGTCTCTCTTGGGCGTGTAAATCTTGGTAAGTCCTCCTTTTATAGCGTCCTTGTTCTTTTTTCAAATTGATCGACTTTTCGTTTTTGGGTCATGTCATACCGGACGGCGAGCCAACTGCTAGCTGGGCAATTTGTTCGGAAGCACGTTTGAGCGGCGGTCAACTTTTTTGACCTTGTACTTAACGGAACTGGATCCATCGATGTGCACAGCCACTTTAGTCGGTTGTGGGAAGCATGTACTGGCCCTCGTTCTCAACACCCAGTCGTCGGACGCTATACAGTTTTGTTTTATTGTTAGTGGGTGGAGCCGGCAGACCCGGCGGCCGGCAGCCTGCGGCTGGCGGCTGTCGTCCAGTCGTTTGATCAACGATGTTACAAAAACTGATGAACTAGTTTGTTGTTATTATTTGTGCGGCCCTGTGTCTGTCCGTCTCAGTATTTTTTAACTAATGCTCGCCAATGCTTCTTCCCTCAATAAATTCCTTTCTCTCAAGTTTTGCTTAAATTTGAGGATTTTGTGGTGAAACCGAGTTTTTGAAAAATGGGATTCAAAATGGAATAAGAAATAAATACCAGAAAAGTAAATTTGCTACATGAGAACAAGAGGTCATGGCTGGTGAATTTAGTGGAAACAAATGGATAGCAACTTTCGAAGATTATTTGCACGGAGGCGAAATTGTTGCACAAAGCTGCCTTCAGGGAGGTTGTGGTTGGCTTCAAAGGTGTGTGTGGCATTATTCAGAGCGATTGCACCTCGCCACTCTCCGGTCCGTTTCCGGTTTTTGCAGTTCTGGCTATCTCTGGCGACAACACAATGGACGGTGGCCGTCGGACGAACCGATCTCGTGGTCATGTTTGCCCTCCATGTCCTCTCGCCGCTGCTCTTTACCCTCTCACCCGAACGTTTTTTCATTTACTTCACATCGAAAGGTGCCTGTTCACTATTTACATAGCTATCCGACTGGTCGGAAATTTCCTAATTTTCCATATCTTTAAGTTTTGTAACTTCCACTTTTCTATGCCATACACGCTCCAGAGTTAAAAAGTTAAGGTTAATCAAGATTGTCAATATGTTAGAGGCTTCAATTCCGTTTTGCAAAACACTGAAAGAGACAATGCAGTCATTTTTGTTCACAGCCTATTCTTTTTTATGCCACGGTGTGATGTGAAATATAACTATATATAGTGTTGCTGAGATATTAGAAAAGCTCCTGATCGCAGGTGTTTGGGTGGGGATTGAACACGCTCTTGCCCTTTCCAGGGGCTAACGCATTCACCACCACACCATGCGGGTCTTTCGTTTCGAATTTCGCTCAACGATGTTTTAACTTGAAGAGATCTTTTGTCATAGTCACGAACCTTACCGAACTCACCATAAAGAAAAAACAGCGGACAGTTTTTTCGTAATAACCTCTTGTGAGCTCATGAACATAACAAAATATCGATTATTTATGCCAATGCTAAGTGAAAAATGTTTTTCGAAAAGAAATTTAAAGTGACATTTTGGAAACAAAGCTATTATTGAGGCTCGACGCCGTTAAGGTTGCGACTTTTCCTCTCCTCCAATCTCTAATTTCGCTGGCTCCTCTATGCTCCTCTATGTTACCTGCTAAAGCCATAACGGAAGCACAATTTTCTGTTTTTTTTGTGGAAAATTTGTCACCTGATACTTCTGTTACATAGAAGATCTTTGCTAGAGATTCCGTCTGGCAGTTGACGTTTCTCTGCTAGTGTGGAAGGATGAAGAACTTTCCTTACCTTTCTCGTATCCCCATACAAACCTACCTACTGATAGCATTCCTGGGGATCAGATGGAATTTCGAGGTTACGGAATAAAACGCGGTGATGGTCTACCAGCAATGAACGAGACGAGGGTTTCTTCTAATAGCTCCCACAGGATGGAGCTGCTTTTCGCTGGCAGCCTTTACTCTAAATCTCTTGCGTGAGCTTAACATGACATTCTAATGACTGGTATGGGCTACGAATAGCGTTCCTCTCCAGTCGCATCTTCTGTCTATAAAGATGATTCTGTTATAGAGATCCATTGCTGGTTAACCACCTATGTTCCACGAACTTTATTTCTTGAATTCCTTCTAGAAAGATTTTTATCAAGAGTGATCAAATTCGTCCCTCTGTCAGTACGAGTTTCATTTCCGATGTCGTCTAAAAATAGAGGTTAGCAATCCAGTTATTCGTATTGGTAGCGCTTGTTTCACAATAACGCCGTCATGGCGCCGATCAACTGCACCAACCACTCGCCACATGAACTGGTTTTCGCCGTCAAGCAACGGGTTTTCCACGAGTTTCCACTATCCCGGATTCGCAGCCAATAGTCTCGGCTAACCTTGAAGTTATATAGGCTTTTTGGGTCGCGCAATCAGTCGCAAATAGTATGACTATGTGTTTATCGTCTCCCAAACTTCTGGCTACTCATCTGAGACCCATCAATTCTCATTTTTTTCGTCATTGAAATCCTAACCTTGCTCAGTGCTAGATAACACGGCCCATTAAGTTTCATGTTTGCTGTTTATACTGATTGTTTTTCCAATCTTTTTGAAGAGCCATAGATAGGGCGAAGCTAGCAAATATGAATAGACTTGCTTTCCCTGAATAGTCCAGTCCGAGTTTTTCCTGCTAATGGGTTCCTGCAAGGGTGATGGCTAACTACTAAGATTAGCAGTCCCTAAACTGGTATAGCTAGTGTCATCGTCGCGCCACGGTTGCGCATCGCAACCGCTCACAGCCCCACCAACTGGTTTTCCGCTGACCGTCGCTGTGGCTAATGCGCTTTCCTCGAGCGCGTAGATCAAATCGTTCGCCGTCCGTTCCGCATCGCAAGCTGTTACCACCACTATTTCATCCTGCGCTTGCACCCAAAAGCCTTCATCTGACTTACCTGCATCACTTGTCCTCGTCTCACCCTCTGTCTGGCATCCATGTCTTGTCATATTTTCTTAAGCCCAGTCTGTTCGACGTAATCCTATATTGGTGATAGATAAAACGGTGAAAGTAATCACCGTTGCTCAATGTTTTCCCGCAGTTGACTTTTCGCTAAAAGTACTTAAATAAACTCTATCTAACTCCTAGTAAACTCTACACTTTCTGCGCCCCGACCTCAACTCAACGTTTCTGGGTATCCTTTAGTTTATTTCATTTATCCTAAATAACGTTTTTTTATTATATAGTTGATCAGATAGATTCGCTTCAAAAAATAGAGCTTTTGTAAAGGACTTGGAGGCGAACTACCTTAGTGAGTCACCTTGTAATTCGTTGAAGGTATTATTATATAATACAATGTGAAGCAGGATTTCCTACGACATTCATTTGAAAAGAATGTGCGTGCCTTATGCGTTGCCTTTAACATTAGCAAAGATCTGGTCAAGTCTTCAAAGCGCTAATTATTCTCGAATTTTACTAAACTTGTTGGAGGTCTTCCGTAGCGAAACACTGCCTTTTTTAAGCGGCGTGGTGACTAGTCAAAGGTTTTGTTGTTGAAAATACCCTTTAGAAACCTCTGTCCTACTTGAACCATTGCCGTTCCTACTGCGCCTACCATTTCCAGCTCTTTCGCGCTCACTGTATCTACGGCTTCCAGTAGTTCTGTGCAAAATGCCCACCATAATCGTGTCTTCTATGGAGAATCCGCGTTTCCTGGATGTAAAATCTACTCGTAGATATTCAGATTTAGTTCTCTTGCGCTCTGGAATAATTTTTCTTATTAGTCATAGCGAAGCGGTGACGTTAAATTTTATTAATCAGTCTGGGTTAGCAGCACTCCATGTATTCTTCCGTACATTTTGCTCTGGTTAATGGCTTAGAATATCAATTTAAGTACTTTTATGCATCTTCAATAGCTCGAGAAAGCTGAGACACATTCAGTGTTTAGGAAATTTCAGGTCGTTGATATGCCCAAGTCTTTGTTTTCGCCACCGAAGAATGTTGTAGAGGCGTTCAGTTCACCACTGAATGAGCTTGAAATGCTGGAATACCTTATATATATATTTGTATATATACATATATATATCTATATATTTACATCATCCGTTGCCACATCTAATGCGCCGATCCCAATCCCAGCACTTCTTGCATTCGATTCGTTTTCCGCGCATTCATCCTTCACAATGTGGTCTTCGAACATTTCACGTGTTGTTTCGACCGCTGCTTGAGATTTCGTCCTCTTTATAAATGTTGTAGAATGCTGGTGGAGTCAATTCTCTTTGTAATTTTGGAAATAGCCGTGCCAAAGCGTTCTCACAGGGATTAAAAGAAAGCGTTGGAATTGGGATTGAACTAGCTCTGTCGCTTGGCGAATGACGACATTACGACCCACTGCGCTAACCGTTGCCCATTTATACATGTCCATATATACATATACACATATATAAATATATGTGTATAAATAACTCCTAACCGACAGAATAATAGGTAGTAGAAGTTCGTTTTTGAAGCTTAAGTCATAGCAAAGATCGCACATGTTACAGCGTCTGAGTTGTAAAGTCTTCTTCTTCATAACAACGGTGTGAACTACTCCCTATTTTCTAGCTCTTGTTTATACATAAAAGAACTACTCCGCTGAAGAAAAGCGCTGAGAACATAAACTCTTTTTCTGATTTACGTTGTTGTAAAAAAATAAACTGAGAGGTAAGGTCGAGAAATAGATTGTGTACGTCCTTCTGAGTTAGAAGCCGTCATTATTTCCCCCTTACTCTCAATCTCCTAGTGCAAATCAACATTAGGGCACTTCGACAGTCAGAGATCATTCTTACACTTCAACATGCTAGAGCCGCCTTGATTAAGCCTTTCTAGCTTACTGGTCACTTCTGGTGGTGTTGCGTTTTTGTCGTGCTACGTACGGACAAACAATGAGTTTGCTCAGTTCAGACTCTTGGCGACGCGCCCGCGATCGAGTCGAACCGACTGGACCTCAACCGCCAACACCTGCCAACGCCGTTCAATCCGGCCCTGATGGCCGCCCAACTCGGCATGTTCACCAATCCGCAGCTGCTCAACATGATGCAGGTACTAATATTTTGCCACCCAAATGGGTGCCTATGTTGAGCGAGTCCCTTAAAAGTAGTCACTTTTTTTGCACTGCCTATTCTTTTTTCATGGAACGGTATTATATGATATATAACCACAATGATGCTGAGGTATGTGCAAAACTCCCGACATCAGGTGTTTATGGTGGAGATCGAACCCGCTATTACCCTATTTCCCTCTTTTAAAAGTGTTTCAGAACGAAATTTCTAGGGTTCCCAACAATATTTTTTCGGAGCGGATTGACTTATTGGAATGCAATAATAATGTTTCTCTAATGTTTCTTTACAATTTCAGCACAAAAGTTTCGATTTTATTCTTAGTCATAGAATTAAGCTTTAGCATTTGTCACGAGACGAATGTTTTTTGCGTAGAAATTGAGATTAGTAAATGAAATTGGCGTTGTAACAACGAATGTAGCCCAGTAGTTGAAAGTGAGCTGTAATACACACGCGGTACTAGCTCGATCCGCGCCTCGGGCTCAGAAAGTCTTCCATCCAGCTGAGATTAGTTTATTAGTACTAGCCTTGTCTGATGATAGTTTCATGGACGTTAGATGTTAGTATAGCCAGCTAGGAAACATTCCTGCTCTAAGCATAATATTCCACACAGATTCCCAATATTTTATTTTGGCCGTAATGGGTACTGTAAGTTGCTTGTGGATCAGCTTATGTCTAATCTAGTAGTGATCTTGCGTCTGGAATAAACTTGTGCGTTTTCATAACATTTTGCAACCTTTCCTTTCTCAAATTGTTACAATCCTCTTTGCACTTGAGACTTATCGTAAATGCTTCCAGTGAAAAAGTTCTTATGAATATATTCGTCTATATCTGGGTACAAGCTGTATGGAGTGTTACTCAGCTACAGAGTCAGCTACACTAGTGTTCCTCTGTACCTCCACACAACTCCTTGTACGTCTCTTGTCGCTTTTGACTAACAGCGCTGACGATACATATGCACGCAAAAGCGCGCAATAACGTGGCATGATTTATATTCGATAACGAAAAGAAAAATGTAGTTTTACTGAGCCGTCGTAGTCACCGAAACGTGAGCGACAGAAGAATGAGCCTATTGGCAGCCGTCTTAGTAAAGCCCCAGAACAGTGAGTTCAGCAGACAATTAGGATCCTTAACTTTATGATCGGATGGAGTTCAGTGAATAAATGATGCAAACGGTTCGCTTTTCTCAATTCCCTTTCTCTTTACGTTATTCGTTAGATACCCCATTTATTAATGTGGCTACCGGTGTCATACGTTGCAAAATTTAATGGTTATGCTGAAATAGGGGCACGTTTGGCGCAGCGGTCGGAGGTGCCCTGCAACACACACGTGGAATCGATCCTCTCGCCCATGGCCCACCAACACTTCAATCCCTCCGGGGTCAGAAAATTGGTAGCAGACTTGTCTGGGAGGATATCAGAACTTGCTCGATACATCGCTAGGCCACTGCAAGTTATTGCAGGCAAGTCAAAGGCCGGATGTGCATTCAGTCACCTCCAACGATATTTAATGAAGTCGAATGCATGGCGCATCTCTCAGGGATTGAACAACGCCGAGAGCTTTATCCTTTTATCTTTCATCCTGAAATAACGTTGGTGGGTAAAGTTTTAAGATACTAAGAGGAAGTTTGTAACTAATCCCTACTGTCTTTTCTCTCCTAATTTTAGACTGAACAACGATCCTGCAAATTTTTCAAATAATATCCTGCGAAGAAGAAAGAATAAACAGTAATTAGAAAGTTCAACATTGTGATTTCGTCTTTAGCTCCAACTTAACTAGGTTCAACACCGTTTTTTGCTTTCCAGCTCATCCCCGTTGAGCGACCATTGATGATAGCACCGTTAGAGTAAAAAATTGGCTTAGAGAAAGGAAAAACAAGAGCCTCGGTTGGTGTGGTGAATAGAACATGAAGCCCCAGAAGGGCTAATCACGGGTTCGAAGCCCAATTGAGGTTCCGAGTTTTCCTTTGTTAAAGAGTTTTGCAAGAGTTCATCGAAATAATTCCTTCCTTTATAACACCAATAGAATATTTTCTTCACATAATCAACCATATCGGGGTGATTGTAACTAAGTAATTCGTCCAGAAAACCGATGGGAATTCAAAATTAGGAGGATGTCCTTACTGGTTATCTATTTTGTTCGATATTTCTCCGGTGGAAATGTTTAGAAGACCAAAGATAATGAAGTATGCGGGAATCCACATTCTTTTTCGCCTGTGAATTTCCAGGGTCTTATTTGTGGCCTTAATTCCTAAGATTCTCTTAGGAAAGATTTGGTAGTGGTCTATTTTTTCCTAGAACTACTTTTATTGGAACTAATCATAATGCATGATTCTCAGCGTTAGGGCCAGCTCAAGCAATGAATGCCTTCATAAATTTAGTGTGCGTCTTTCTCCTAAAACGTTCTATCTCCAGCTATTCGTAGCACTTCTTCACTGGAATCATCTTAGCTTTGTTCAAGCATATGTGTTAGTTGGAGTGGGGATAGCGCAATGGTTAAGTGATACCGTCGATCAGGAAGCAAGAGGGGCTGGTTCGATCTCGCCCAACGCTTTCCTCCAGTTCGTGTGGAAGCGCTTTAGTCCGGCTATATTCAAGATTGCAAGGAGAATTGGCTCTGCCAGCATTCTACGACAATCACAAAGAAGACGAAATCCTCAAGCAACAACTGAAGCAGCATGTGAAGCTTTCGAAGACCACTGAGGACGATGAATAAGAGGGAAACGATTCAAATGCAAGAAGTGCTGTTACCCGCACAGAATTTATGATGACGGGCCGTGCAAAAGTAAAAAAACAATATGTCATAGTTAGAGGCCGTTAACTACGACATCCTAGGTTTCACTCACACACTGTTGTGCTGTACGGGGAACATTTTGTGTTCCTCTAGATGGCTTTTTTGACTTAAGTAATCGC